GTTGCTTTTTATTGTTTCTTTAGGCTTATTTCTTTGGATTGGGAAAATCCTAAGGATACCAACTCAGAAGTAATGAGACATCAAATATCTGGTCTTACATGAGAACATGAACACATGTCTCTTTAGGAAGCTGCTTGTGCAATGTCATCAACAAGCTGATAATTTTCTTGCAGATTTCAAATCAAACATTATAGAATTTTTAGAAGTATATTACAGAAATAGCTGGGAATTACCTTTTTCCTGGTAGGTTTAGGAATCGTCAGGAAACTTATTTTCTAGGTCTGTCTTTAGTATAGTTCATGCATAAATAGTAAATGCTTGTGTCCTGCAATACAGTGAAAATAAGGGCTACCACATGATGACCCACTCCTGTGTGGCCAAGAAGAACATCACAGAGATTGTTTTATTATTTTATTTTATTCTTATACCATCCTTATGAACTAGGTCCACTTAGTACTTTCTTTTTTAAAACTGATGAAAGAGATAAAGTAATATGTCCAGAGGGAACTTGGACAAAACTGAAATGGTGGGCTGATTGAGGTAGGATTCACACCAGGTATTTGAACTCTAGAATGCTTGCTCTAAAATGAATGATTTCTAATATTCCACTATTTCATAATTTTTGTGACAATATACTACATGTACTTTTCATCTAGGGCAGTAGTTCTCAACTTGTGGGTCCCGATCCACAGGAACTGTACTAAAGGGCCGCAGCATGAGGAAGGTTGAGAACCACTGATCTAGGGGATGTCTTTTGTACATTTAAAAATAGTGTTTATTCAGAAATTTTATTAAACGTAAACAAAAACAACTGTTTTAGACCCCACTATAACTTTGTATTGCTTGCCTGTGTTCGAAAACAGGTCCTGATTTATAAATTTTCTCCTAACGTTTTTGGAAAGGAGATTTGCCCAGATCTACATAACAGCAAACATTCAGATGAAAACTGAGGCCATACTCCTGAAGATTAGAAATAGCGTAGTGATATTCAAGTGCAACATTTTATCAAAAGAATGCATTTTTATTTCAGGGTTTGATGCGGTAAATACCCCAGGAAACTGCATTTCTCAGTTCATTTGATTAAACACATTGCTAATTTTGCTGGATTATCTTTTGTATACTGCTCTTTTTATTCTCCTGACAATTGTAAAGTATGTCTTTGTACCTTAAAAGTCATTTGAATTTTGCCTCAGACAGTCAAGGTTAATTCATATACGCATGGTAACGTAAACCTATCTTGGTGAGTTTCTTCTGTACCTGTTATATGCTTGGTAACTGAATTCAGTTTAGTACCATTAAAATTTCTTATACTTTCAGATTTTTTATTAAGTCAAATACACATAGATCATGAATACATTTATGCATGTGCTAGTACAATGTATTGATTTTTTTTTATACAATCTGATGTGGTTACATCAAACCAATCAACATAGCTTTCACCTCATTTACTTGATTATTATGTTAAGACATTTATGTTCTACACTTGACAGATTTGACTTGTACCCTTGCAATATGCTCCATAGGTGTGGTCCTGCCTTTTACCCTCCCTCTATCAAACCTCCCTCTTTCAGATTTTGATTAAACTCATTTTAGCCATTATGCACTATTAGAGGTTTTTGGGGTTTTTTTTGTGTGTGTGACAGAGTCTCCCTATGTCACCCTTGGTAGCGTGCCGTGGCGTCACAGCTCACAGCAAACTCAGACTCTTGGGCTTAAGTGATTCTCTTGCCTCAGCCTCCCAAGGAGCTGGGACTACAGGTGCCTGCACAATGCCCAGCTATTCTTTTTTTGTTGCAGCTGTCATTGTTATTTGTCAGGCCTGGGCTGGATTTGAACCCGCCAGCTCAGGTGTATGTGGCTGGCGCCTTACCTGCTTGAGCCATAGGTGCCAAGCCAAGAGATTTTTTCTTTTCCAAATTCTTCATGCTACATCAAACTATCCCTTTCCCGCAATTAGCCTCCCAGCTTTCCTCTGCCTCCTTCCTCTTTTCTCATCTGTAAAATAAAGGTAACATAGTACCTCTCTCATAGAATTGCTGTGAAAGATGAGAGAGGAGATATATATGTGTATGTGTGTATATAAGATGGGTAAAGAGGAAGCACCTTGTACTAGCTCTTATTATGTTGTACTAACTATTATTAATATTGTTTTTCAATTCTGTGTAGTATAGAGGATGTGGCCTCTCTATAGCGGTGTCTTTACTAGCTCTTCTCCACAATGACTTAAAACACAGTTTAAGGTTTTTATTTGCCTCAAGGTCTATAGAAAATAGAGACTTTATAAACAATCCTGATACTAGAGAGTGCATGAGCTCCTGGATCTTAGGACATTCCCTTGTCTCTACTCCCTGTAGTGCCTTGCCCAGAGAAAGATCCTCCACGATTTAGATAATATCCATTTGGATCAAAGAATCATCAAGCCCCAAGAATTGTAAATACAGTATGTTCAAATTCCAAGTACCCACAACTATAGAAAAGAGGCATAAAAATGACATAGGACACACACAGGAACTCACAGGAACTGACTTTTGTAGAAGTAAAACTTGCTTCTATAAAAACCAAGGCACCAACTAATGTGACTTTGGGTTTCCCTTTATCAACACCTTGTCATAGAGGAGGGAAGATGAAAATTAGGAAGGCAAATGAGTTACCAATTAGCTATCAGCATGAGAGAAACTGGTTTCATAGGTCTGAAACATCATCATCATTAACACAAGGTTTTATTTATTCTAGAGATAACACTGACTTGGCTGGCATTTGCTAGAATTTAGTAATTGATGCTTCTGGTTTTGTTTGTACTTGAATTTATAGAGGAGTAGGTCAGAAATTAAAGCTTACAGTGAGGCTGCCCCTATGTGAGATGGGATTGGAAGATGTCTCTTCTGAAGGTTCTGACTCTTCGGTGTCTTTTTTTTTTTTGAGACAGGGTCTCACTCTGTTGCCCAGGCTAGAGTGCGGTGGCATTAGTCTGGCTCACAGCCACCTCAGACTGCTGGGTTTAAGCAATCCTCCTGTCTCAGTCTTCTGAGTAGCTGAAACTAACAGTGCCCATCATGACACCCAGCTAATTTTTCCATTTTTAGTACAGACAAGATCTTGCTCTTGCTCAGGCTGGTCTCAAACTCCTGAGATCAACTGATCCTCTTGCTTCAGCCTCCCAGAGTGCTGGGATTACAGGTATGAGCCCACACACCCAGCCTTTCTTTGGTGTCTTAATTGACTGGCAGGAGAATTAAGTAAATTCCTTGAGGCCAAAGAACATTTATTTCAATTCTGTCTTCTTTCTTAGCACAGTGCCCAGAAGTGAAACTCTTATCTATAGATCTAGTCCTTTCAGGATTAGTAGAAAAAGAGACAGAGAGCACCTCTGAGAGAGGATGGAGCGGTAAGGCTGTCCTCCGTCCCACCGTCCTCAGATGTTAATCTTACAAAAACTAGCTATCCCCAAAGACCAGCTGTCCCTGCCGCCCTTGCAGGTGTGACTTAGGAAAAGCAGTGAGAAACGGCTGCTTGTCACACGCTCTAATTTAAATTTCTGGTGAGCAAACACTTGCTGTCCAATACCCAGACCCTAAAAAGCACTGGAGAACAGTTAAGGTCTCCAAGCAGCAGTTTTGTTGTTATTATTTTGCTGCTGCTGTGGTTTTTCTCCAGACTTCTATACTGTATTAGTTGGGTCTTCTTTGTAGGTTTCCAAGGCATGCCAGTATGAGGCATACCAAGGTTGCCTAAATTAGAAAAACACAGCTAAGCTCACGAACCAAGTTCCCGCTACCTTCCTGCTACGTGCAGGGAACTTGACAGGAGCTCTGTTGAGGAGAAAAAAAATGAGTGGCTTCTAGTGTGAATTTGGAGTAAAAACACAAAGTACTCTAGTACTGCGTTTTATGTTCTGTGGCTATTCCAAGCCTTCCGTTTCCACCGCGTATCTGGGAAAGTTTTTCTTCCAAGCCACCATCATGTGACAGAATTGCAGCCTGTGAAGAGTTTCCCTGTGTTCTGTGATTTTCCCAGGTCTGCCCTTTCGTTTTGCTTCCTTTGTGATTCTGTTTGATGACTCCAGCGTGAGCGAGCTGCGGGGCCTTGAAAACTGTTTCTAACTCTTCCCTTCAGCTTATGTCAAACCAACTTCCTCCTTTTTATTGAAATAAAACCTCTCCAGCCTGAGAAAGAAAATCCCCTACAAGCTTATGGCACTAGGTTCCCCTTAGCGTGATTCACCATACCAAGGTGTTACAATTGAATTGCATTATTCCCACCATTGTTTTGTTACCCATACCACTAATTTCCTGAATGTCTTGTTTTGTGTTCTTAGGTAAACTATTCCAAATAAGAATTGATGAAAACATTTCCAATTGTATATAAAACCAGCACATTGTACCCCACGATTGCATTAATGTACACAGCTATGATTTAATAATAAAAAAAAATTGATGGACATAAAGAAACTTCTGTTCAGATTGTACACTCATACCACTTCTGACCAATTGTTTTAGTTGAGGAAACAGAACATAATTATCTTGGATTTACTCCCTTTTTGTATATGTGGTTAATCATTAATATTTTAGCACAGATATTCTCATGTTTGGGTCTTATCATCCTCTAGACTTTTCTAGTATCAGAACTGTGGAGCAATCTTCATTCCTGACATCCGTTTGCTTTCTACTTTGGGATAATAATAAGCTTTACTTAGATAACATCCTTTCACCGTTGTGGTGGCTACTTAGGATTAGGAGGAAATAGCTGCGGACATTCAGACGACTGCTCTTATTCTTCTTGTCTATCAAGTTATATGAACAAAGGACAATTGAAAAAGTAAATTTCTAGATTACACAGATTTTCCTGGGTGAGGTTGAAAAGAATAGCAACTTTGCCTGGTGACCTTGTCAAGGTATTTAACTTCTCTCTTCTGTCCTTATTATAATTTATTACATTACAGACGTTTGTTTATCTACGTGTACTCCATTTGTAAGGTTATTTGAAGAATGTTGATAGAGGCTCATAGGTTCTTGGATAGGAGATTTCATATAAGCACCAAGTGCTAAGAGCTAAACAGAATTCGACTGTTAAATAGCAAGAAGCTGTTATTCGGTAACTTCACCTTGTTCAGAAGTAGCTTAGGCCACCTCAGATCACCAGAATTGCTTTGATGTTCTTGTTGTGCTAGCATGACTTAAAAGTCTGCTTGGAAACCAGAGGTTTGGCACTCACTCTTGTTTTTACCGAGTAGTGTGTGACATGGTAATTACTGCCAGTGTGCCCTGCTTTCTGCTCATTTAGTTCTTACCCCTGTAGCTCCTCTCCTTCCCACCTCCTGGCGGACTTCTGGTCATCCTCTGGATCTGTGTTCTGGGTGAGGTGCCCCTTTGCTTGCTGGGCTTCCTTCATAACCCCACCAGGTGGTTAACTCCTGCTTACTTTTTGGCCTGTCTCCTGACCAGAAACATCTTGAAGTCAAGATCACGTGATGCTCGTTTGGGAGTCTCTTCTACTTCCAGGACATTTCCAGCCAGGGTGGTCCATCAGCAGTGGTGTAGGACTGTCTGTCTAGAATGCAGACTGAGCACGGTCATGGAGATACACTTAAGGGAATGGGGGGAGACAGCATAGCACATTGTGTAAGGGCCCTAGATCAGGCTGATTGGGATAAACCCCAGCTCCACCACCTACTAGCTGTGTGACCTTTCTGTGCCCTGTGTCCCTCATCTATAAAATGAGGATAATAGGTCTGGGAGGCTGTTGTGGGGGTTAAATGAGATAGTACATTTCCAATTGTTTAGAATCATGCCTGGCACATAGTAAACACTCAATAAATGTTAGCTGTTATTTTTAAGGATACTGACCCTAAAGCAGGGTATACACGTATTCATGTACAGTATGTTACCATATATCAGCAGTTCTCAACCTGTGGGTTGCAACCCCTTTGGGGGTCAAATCACCCTTCCACAGAGGTCACCTAAATACATCCTGCATATCAGATATTTACATTATGATTCATAACAGTAGCAAAATTACAGTTACAGAGAAATGTATATTGAAATATTGGAGACCTAGTAAAAGGGATAATTATTTTAAGACACTTGGCATTCAAGCAGAAGAAGGCAGGTGTGAAGGGGATCTGTTTAAAAGAAAAGGCTTGCGTAATTTTTAAATGGCTGTCACCTCTCTCATAGCATTGCGTCAGAGAGAAGTCGTAATTTAAAGCTGTCAACTGGATGGATACTCTTCTGAGAACTTACGTACATCTGGTTTGATGCAATTTCAGTTAGGTAGTCCCAGTACAATGTCAGATATGCTTTTAATTGACTCAGGCTTTCTGGCTGAGAATCTGTCTGTACATTTTTATCTCAACACCAAGAGATTTACATCCAGATGCACAGATTCCTGACCTGTGCTCAGCAATGCTGGCTGCAGCCTAAGGTTTCTCAGGACAGTGTTTGTTGTTTTAGAAATTTAGTATCTGGAAGCACAGCCCTCTCTGTGGTGTCAGTTTATTCAAACCTCAACGTGTACGTGTGAATATGTCATCCTGCTGTATTATGATTCAGCACACTGTTCCCCAGTTAAGATCGAGGCCAAGGAAACCCCCAGTCATCCATACCGGTGAAGGAGCTCAGTGGCATGGATGTTGCTATGCACAGTTTTCTTCTGGTTTTTTTGAGGCAAGGTCTTGCTCTATTGTTGGGCCAGAGTGCAGTAGTGTCATCATAGCTCTCTGCATCCGCCACCTCCTGGTCTCAAATGATCCTCCTACCTCAGCCTTCTGAGTCACTGCAACTGCAGGCACGAGTTATCATACCCAGCTAATTTTTCTAGTTTTTGTAGAGATTGGGTCTTGCTGTGATGCTCAGGCTGTTCCCAAACTCCTAGCCTTAATCAGTTCTCCTGACTCAGCCTCCCAAAGTGCTAGGATTACAGGCATGAACCATCATGCCCAGCCCAGATTTGTTTTTGAACTGGACTATGTAGCTTTGGGGACATGAGATATTCCTTTTTTTTTTTTTTTTGAGATATTCCTTTTAAACTACAATTTAATTTGGCTAGTGTCATATTTAGTCATACCGTGG